GGAGAATTCATAGAGAAATCGTTAGAAGTCATGGCTGAATGGATGTGGTGAAGGAGGTAGGATCCGTTAATCCCAGTATACTGTTTGATCTGGACTTTGAATTTGATGGCAGAAGTTGTCCTTGTGGAGAAAAGCTTATCATTTCCTATAGGACTAAATAGAACTTCATGGGGCACCGGGGTGGCTCAGTTAATTAAGCGCCTGACTTGGTTTCAGCTCAGGTCATGATCTCATGGTGAATTCTAGCCCCAGGTCAGGCTCAGTTCTGCCCTGAGTGTACAGAGTCTGCTTGGGATTCTCTCTCTCTCCCTCTCTCTCTGTCCCTCCCCTGCTTGTGGGCTCTATGTCTCTTTCTCTCTCTCTCTCAAAATTAAAAAAAAAAAAGCTTAAAAACAAAAGGACTAAATGGAATTTCAAAGCCTAGTGTTTAGAGCACCTGGATTTAAGTTTTAGTTTTGGGATTCGAGTCACGTTAATTAACGTCTCTGACTCTTGTTTTACTCATGCATACTGGCAACAGTACTTTTCCCATAAGGTTTTTTTGACCATTAAAAGAGGTAGTGTATGTAAAGAGTTAAAAACAGAGCCTAGAGCATAAATAAGCATTCAATAAATATTAGAATTTTTTTTTAGTATTAAAGAACTAAAATAATTTTAAATGTCTGCTCATTATACTTTGCATTGTCTCAGTTTTGGCAAGAATATTTTTTCAGCAAGAATTATTTTTCCATTTCCTTTACATTTTTCATTAAAATAGAAATAACTTTTCTAACTAGTCCATGGCTCCTACCAAGGACACATCAAGGGGGCATAACTATGCTTCAGCCTGCAGCTCAGACACTTTAATAAAGAGTATATTATGATCATTTCTGTCCTTCAGAGAATAGCTCTTCTACCTGGCTGCCTGGGTGGAAAAGAGCATTGAATTATAGTTCCATAGTGGATAGAAAAGACTCTTGTTGCCTACCTTCTCCTCCAGCTCCATCCCCAAATATGCTTCATAAGCCACAGAAGCTCCAGTCCTTTTGTTGTGTGGAAAGTTTAGGTTTGATCCTGTCCATGGTGTGTAACTAATATTGATAGAGAGAGTTAAGCTGTGTCCAGCTGGGGATACAAACTGAAATATTGACCCATCTGTAAAGCATGTCTTTGTTCAACCCTGGGCACACATTCCTCCCCTATTGCTGATCTTGTTTCTCATGTGTTCTTTGATAAGGAAAGAAGTTGCTCCTTTTGGTCCTCTGATTACAATGGCATGCCTAGCACTTAGTAGGCATTTGGCAAATATGAAGTCATTAATCATAAATTAATTAAACATGAAAAGCTTTTCCTGAATTCTTTAGATCTTAAGGAATCAAGAATCTAGTTTGTAATCCTCATCTTGAATTCTGGAAGGACTGTGCTGGCCTTTGGGATTGAGCACCTCAGATGGTCAGTGTGGTGTTGCTTTTGGGGTTCTAGTCCCTCAGAATCACTTGTCCTTATTCTTCTCTTCTCTTACTGATTTTAACTACCCATGACTCCTACTAGTACATAATTCTTTCATATCTGATTTATCTAGGATCTACTTCCAATAAACTCGTTACAGTAAGCATTCATAATTAGGTGCAGAATCACTGAGCACAGATCCATAGGGCTCCCCATCGTGAGCACTGCAACAGCAATCACCTGCAAGCCACTGATTTTCAGTGTTGGGCTAAATTGGCTGAGGGATGGAGAGGTTTAGGTAATATAGAATTTGATTAAAAAAATATGAATGATATATGGGTAGGTAGATACATTTATCAGCACATAAATAGATTTCATGACTTATAAATACTTTGAGAGATAATTTTCACAGTTAACTAAACATTAAAAAATTTATAGATAATAGATAAATATTGATTAGAGCTGCAATTTAATGAGTGTTTTTCTTTGCCTGTTCTCATCCAAATGCCCTATCAATATTACCAGTGAATACTTTTAACTATCCCATGGTAGGTACTATTATTTTCATTTTCATTTTAAAGAGGTAACGGGGTGCCTGGGTGGTGCAGTCGGTTAAGCATCCGACTTCAGCCAGGTCACGATCTCGCGGTCCGTGAGTTCGAGCTCCGCGTCAGGCTCTGGGCTGATGGCTCAGAGCCTGGAGCTTGTTTCCGATTCTGTGTCTCCCTCTCTCTCTGCCCCTCCCCCGTTCATGCTCTGTCTCTCTCTGTCCCAAAAATAAATAAATGTTGAAAAAAAATTAAAAAAAAAATAAAGAGGTAAGGAATGAAGCACAGAGATTAAGTAACTCTGTGTCCAAGCACAGAGATTCAAACCCAGGTTATCTATCTCCAGGGTTTTTTAGTTTTAAAACTATTTTCTTAGCTAAATTTCCAGAAAAGAAACAAAGAGAAAAATATATAATGAGGAACAAGTTATGCAGCATATAGGTAAAAGACCCACAAAACCAAGTGGATCTAAGAGTTCTCAAGATGTCAGCCAGAATGTTGGGATTCTTTAAATCTGTATTCTTCTGGACCAATTTTCCAAATTCCAATAGAAATTTCTACAATGATGGAAATTTTCTGTGTCCGTATGACACAGTTCAATGGCCACTAACCTTATGTAGTTATTGAACACTTGAAACATGGCTAGTATAACTAAGGTACTGATACTTAATTTAATTTAATGAATTTAAATGTAAATAGGCACAGATGTGGCTACAATATTAGACGGTGTAGAAATAAACTATTGACTTACAGGAAACTTGGAGTAACTCTATTCTATCTCTATTCATGCCCAAGCATCCAGAGCTCTTTGCCCCTTGCGCTTTGTCTAGTAACTTTTCTCCTTTTTGTGACCCCAGGTTCCTATTCCATTTTTTCTAATGTGGGTCTTGAGATGGGCTTCAATAATGTATGAATTCACTTAATTTTTATACACAACTTTGTGCGCGCGCGCACGTGTGTGTGTGTGTGTGTGTGTGTGTGAACATTCTTATTTGGGAGACTCTTTATGAGATTCTCATAGGGTTATAACTCAAAAAACATTAAGAGCCACGATAGTACTACTCTTTCTTTTAATTCTAAACTCTTATTAGTTGTGGCTACACTGGCCCAAAAAGTGATTAGTTCAGCTGCACATTTGGATATATTTTCCTGAAGATAATAGCAAATAATTGAAATAGAAGAGAGCTGTGTGGCACCAAAATTTTCATATTGATCTTTGTCAATGCAAGTGCTAGGCATTAATGTCTAGAATAGCCCATAGATCCATGTAGGCTTTACTCAGAGTGGGAAATATAGTTACTGGTAACTCAAGGTGGAGTTTATAGAACAGCACATAGAAATATGGGCAGAGAAGGAGAAGTCTTTATGGAGGCCCAGGGAAACTTAAGTCCAGTTGAATTTTTAACACCGGGAACAGTGACTTCACCAATCTGACCAATGTTTGAACTTTGTCTTTTGGGACTTCTCCATGTGTGGAATTAATTTCATTTCATTCATTTCATTTCTAGAGATTTTTTTAAATGTTTATTGATTTTTGAGAGAAAGAGAGAGAGAGAGAGAGAGTGGGGGAGGGGCAGAGAGAGAGGGAGACACAGAATCCGAAGCAGGCTCCAGGCTCTGAGCTGTCAGCACAGAGCCCGACGTGGGGCTCGAACTCACAAACCGTGAAATCATGACCTGAGCTGAAGCCGGACACTTAACCAACTGAGCCACCCAGGCGCCCCTCATTCATTTCATTTTTTACCAAAGAAAAAAGTCCTGAGTAAATGAGACTGAATGTGAAGAGTTGGAAAGTTTCTGAAAAGGAGCTAAAGCAACTTTTCTTTGGCTTCTCTGAATATTAGTTTTCTACTTATTCCATAACACATTACCACAATGTAGTGGCTTATAATATACATAGTTACTATCTTACAGTTCTTAAATTCAGAAGTCCCAGAAGACTGGTCTAAAATCAAGGTGTCAGCAAGTCTGCCTCCCTTTCTGAAGACTCTAGGGAAAATTCTGTTCCATTGCCTTTCCAGCTTCTAGAGGCTACCCACATTTCTTGGCTCTTGGTCCCCTTCCTTCATCTTCACCAGTTGAGCTGAGTCTTTCTCATGCTGCTATCTCTCTGGTTCTCTGCAGCTGGGAAAATTTCTTGTTTTAAGGACTCATAAGATTAGATGTGTCCTACTTTGGTAATCCAGGATAATCTCCACATCTTGAGATCCTTAGCGTTAATAACATCTGCGAAGTCTCTTTTGCCATGCAAGCTAACATATTCACACATTTCAAGAATTAAGATGTGCGCATCCTGGGAGACCCCTATTCTGTCTACCATAGTGGGTCTTTCTAAAGTTCTTTGGCAGCCAGAGTAACTTCTCCTTCCATCATCTGCTGCAAGCTCAGTCCTTTTAGTACCCACAGACTCCCAAGAATGCAGAAGGGCAGAGCTTTAAAGAGTACTTTAAAGGTACTTAAAGAGTACCTTTCATTCTCTGTCCCATATCATGCATGTAGAAAAATTAGGTCCCAAAGAGCATTATGTGTAAATTACAACAATTTAAGATCACAATTAAGATACACACACATATACACACATCTGCATGTTCGTGTTTATGAACAGCCATTAGGTCACATTTGTGCTTGCTAACATTACCTGTTTGGTTCATTACCCACGTGAATGTACAATATAAAATTCTTCCTTAGCAAAGAAGCAAGTCAGCTAACTCCTTGATGTTTCTAGATGAATTATATTCCTATTGGGTGCAGGTGTTGGTTGAAGTTTTTCTTTTCCTTTCTCCTAAGTACTTTAGCATATGATGATCACTAATAGGAATTATTGCCTCATGGAGTAGGACCATCAATTTCTGTATCAGACTGTGATACAGAATACTAATGTGATACTAATACATGAGTGTATTAGAATAATATTTAAGTCACTCCCTCTTATGGCTACCATCTCAATACTTATTGCTACTGATTCTAATTGAAGCTGTTTGACTTAATGAGTTCTTCTGTTTTTGTGCAGACCTTTGTTCCACTATGTCACTGTTCAACCAAACTATTCATAACCATCAGACCTTTACCCTGATTGGGATTCCAGGAATGCCAGAGAAAGACTTCTGGATGGCCTTGCCCCTCTGCCTTCTTTACAGTACCACATTCCTAGGTAATTTCATTATCCTTGTTGTCATAAAGGTTGAGCGAAGTCTCCATGAACCCATGTATTATTTTCTGGCTATGCTAGCTGCCACTGACCTTAGCCTTTCATTATCTTCCATGCCCACCATGATAAGTGTTCACTTGTTTGACTGGCGCTCAGTAACCCTTGATGTCTGCATCACTCAGATGTTCTTTATCCACAACTTTGGAGGAGTGGAATCAGGTGTTCTGGTCGCCATGGCCTTTGATCGCTTTGTGGCTATTCGCTTCCCTTTGCGCTATGCTACCATTCTCACTCATGGAGTCATCATCAAAATTGGAGCAGCAGTCCTGCTACGGAGTGTGAGTGTAGTGCTCCCTGTGCCTTTCCTCATCAAAAGGCTACCTTTCTGCCGCTCCAATGTCCTTTCCCACGCATACTGCCTCCATCAGGATGCCATGAGGCTTGCCTGTGCTGACACCCGTGTCAATAGCATCTATGGTCTGCTGGCTGTGATCTTCACCATTGTACTAGATGCCTTGATCCTTTTGATTTCTTACTTTCTAATCCTCCAGGAAGTACTGGGCATTGCTTCCAGAGAAGAGAGACTTAAGGCTCTTAATACCTGCTTCTCTCATATCTGTGCAGTACTGCTCTTCTATGTGCCTCTCATTGGCATGACTCTGATTCACCGCTTTGGGAAGCATTTGTCACCAATAATACACACACTTATGGCCAATATCTACCTGCTGCTCCCTCCTCTGCTGAATCCTGTTGTGTACAGTGTTAGGACCAAGCAGATCCGGCAGTGGATTGTCCGAGCATTCTGTGGGAACAGGATTGGCCATTAATGGCATCTATGAGTTCTGTGCAAATGCAGTCAAGTCAGGGAAGGGTATCCAATGCGGTACTGTCCAATAGAATTTCCTGCAGTGATGGAAATCTCTGTTATTTAATGCATAACCACTAGCCACACATAGCTATTGAGCATTTGAAACTTTGATAGTACAACCAAGGAACTGAATTTGTTACTTTTATTTAATTTTAATTAATTGAAATATAAATGCAAATGGTCACATGTAGCTAGTAGCTACTGTATTGAACAGTACAAATATAATGAGTTATCATATGCCCTTGCATAATGGTTTTGATGAAAGCAATAATTTATCTTAAGTAACCTGATAAAAATATGCATTTTCCTTTCTTAAAATGGTATATAACAGCTTACCAACATTCTGAAAAGTTTTATTTCTTTAAGTAATCTCTATACCCCATGTGGGGCTTGAACTCACAACCCTGTGATCAAGAGTCACATGCTCTTCTGACTGAGCCAGCCAATCACTCCACAGCTTATGAACATTTATGTAAAATAAATTTATAAATAAATAATACTAAATAAATTTACTATCGGTTTTAATAAACTTTTGACAAATGGATAGAATCATGTAACAACCACTGACACCAAAATACAGAAAATTCACATCACTCTCCAAAATTCCCTCATGCCACCTCTTTGTCGTCAACCCCTCTATCCATACCCACTCACTCCTGGCAAGAACTGATTTATTCTCCATGCTTATAATTCTCCTTTCTCCAGGGTATCTTGGACCCTGCAGTATATAGTCTCCCATGTCTGGCTTCTTAGCATAATGCATTTGAGATTCATTCATGTTGTAGTATGTATTGGTTGTTTCTTCCTTTTTATTGCTGAACACTATTCCATTATATGTCATTAACAATCTTTTAAAGAAAAATTCCCAGATTATTTTTGCTCCATTATAATCACTTTGGTATCCAACACTTAACATAGCACATTTCTGTTCTTTTGCTTTTTGTGTTTGTTTATATGTTCTTTGAGTATTTTTTATAAATATAAGGTGTGTATGTGCAACAGATTGAAGCAAGAGAGAAAAATATTAAAATGAAAGTAACAAATGAGGAGTATGAGAGAATGGTGCCCTCAATGAACTGGAAGAATAGGAAACTGTACATATACTTTAAATTTTAATTTCATTTCCACTTCATTTTTGTCCAGAAAGCTTTTCTGACATGGCTGTAATTATGTTAAGAATTTCTCATACTGTACCATAACTTACTAATAGTATATCTTCCCTGCTATTCTGTACACTTCATAAGAACAGGGACCCTTTTAACTTCATTTAAGTCTATCCCAAGTACTTAATGTAGTTCAGAACATATATGATAGACGCTCAACATGTATTTTTTAAAAATTAACAAGTGAATGAAAACTGAACTTTATCAAGATTGATTCCATGCTTCCAAACCTCTTTGTCCCATTTAGTATTAGTAAGTCTCATTTGAAATTTCTAGAGCCATTCATTTTTGCTGACGGGAACCAGTGGAAAGGGGTGGTGTTTACATATAAAAATGAACATTACCTACCAAGTAACTTTATGGAGTTTCTTAATCTCTCTACATACTCATTGGGATCAATATCTTTCTTCAGTGTTCCCAATAAAGTTACAAGAATATGGACAGGAAAATGTTTCAAGGAGGATAAAAAGTAAATGATTATTAGATATGGTCAGAAGTATTAATTCACTGCCTACTATGCAGAGGTAGGATGAATAGATTGAGGACTGTGTTTTCAACCATATTTTCTGAAGATATAGTGGAAACAGTTGACTATAGAAGGCAGTATAGTATATAGGTTAATATTTGGAGTAAGACAGACATGAACTTAAATGCCAGCTCTGTAACTTGCTAGCTTTTAGATGGGTAAAGTTATTCAAAACCTCTCTGAGATTCAATTTCTTCATCTGTGAAACAACAGAAAATAATACTAAACCCATAAGCTTGATGATAAATAAATACAATAATGTGTTTAAAGGGTTTAGTACGATTCTTGGCATGTATCATGAGTTCATCAAGTGCTAGTTTCATTATACTAAGAAAGGAAGGTGGGCTGCAGATGTGACTCAGTGAATAGGATGGCTTCTTAGGAGGGGCTCCTGGGTAAGAGGAGGGACATGGGAATTGCCAGGGGGACAATGAGACCTATTAGGAAGAGTACATTTTGGACTAGAGAACAGAAGAAAGAATTTTTGCACTCTCTTAATCGTACTCTGACACTCAGGGAGCCTCCCTGGTTGAGACTCTGTTGCCTAAGGCAGGATGAGGAGGAATGATTGTAATTATTGGATCCAGGCAGGCAGTTTTAGAAGATATCCATTACTGTCAGCCCCCAGGGCCAGGACTTAACTTACAACCCCTGAGGAATGGAGATTGCATGGGCCTGGGAGCAGAGTTTGAAGCTGTCAGGAAGAGGTGTCTGAGCTGTTGTAGAGGAACATATTCTTATGGGTCCCATAATTCTTGCTCCATCCAGTACACTCACTAATAAAGACAGCTCTCTGTTGCCTAATGACTCTACTGATTTTCCTATAAAGCCCCTACTCTTGGGAGGTTGTTTAGTCCTTGCTATGTGGTGGAACCGGAGAGAGGTTGGTGGTGTTTCCTGCTGATGTGAACAGGTAAGAAGAGTGCATAAATGAATAAGGGATGGGAGACAAATGGATTAAAGCATGAGGAATGCTAGGAGACAGAGGGAAGAGAGAAGTGCAATAAATGATAGGAACTACAAGTAAGCTGGAGTGAAGAAATGGAGGGGTGTACTGGAGCCTGGATAAAACTGAGATAGGGAGACAGAGGACAAGAGAAAAGAGGATAAACAGAAAAGGAGATAGGACTCAGAACTCTGCCTGTGGCCAAGACCATTAAGCTTACTAATTGAAGCTTTCTATTGTTCCAGATCCTACTTTACTAGCTAGCATTGGGAAAAGAAAAACAGGAATACCCAAATTTTAAGGAACTCACATTCCAGTTAAAGGAGATTACATCTGCATATATAATTCTAATATCAGCCATGCCTCCTTACTGTATTAAGAATCAAATGAGGAGCACCCAGGTGTCTCAGTCAGTTGGGTGTCCAACTCTTGATTTTGGCTCAGGTCATGATCTACTGTTTGTGCTTTTGAGCCCCACATCAGGTTCTGCGCTGACAGTGCAGAGCCTGCTTGGGATTCTGTCTCTCTCCCTCTCTCAGTCCCTCTCAACCCCCTCTCTCTCTCTCAATATAAGTAAACTTAAAAAAAAAAATTAAAAAGAATAAAATGAAAGCTCCAAGCATGAAGTGGTGCAGAGATTTAGCAGCAGAGGGGAAATTTCTGGTTAACAAAGCCTGGAGCTGTCAGGGAAGGTTCCACATTGTGGACAGAATAGATTTCAGTGTTGAAAAATGACCAGAAGGTTTGGGATTGGTAAATGACATGGACTGGTTTTACCATTACTGATGCCATGGTGATACATGGATTGGTTTTTACCATTACTGATGCAGGGATGTTGACCTTTGGGTCACTAAGTTACTGAATTGGGTGGATCTTATCCAAGTCAGTGAATCTAGGCTTTTGTATATGAATTGGTAGACACTGCTTTCTTTCTGGCCATTAGACGGGGAACTGAAAATAGAGAACTCTAGCCTATTCTGGGTAGAGGGCAGTGCAGAGAAAACCTTGATTAATCAAGGCACTGAACTTTAATTCTATAACTAGTTCCAGAGTGTGTGAACTCACTGGATCTAGGGAGGAAGCCTTTACTCCCTGTCCACATATCTACATTCCACAGGAAACAAGTTCTCCAGCAGCAAAATGAGCCATAGTCTCCTCTCCTCCTACCCTCCTTTCCTCACATCATCCGGTGTCATCTTTTTGTCCTTTATTAGATACAATTCAAAGAATAGAAAATAACTGGTATCTGATTTATGGTAATCTTATCTCTCAGTTACTCTTCAATTCAAAAACTCCTCTCTACATACACCAGCACACAGAGATACACACAATATCAGTATATAAATATTTACACATATTCCTAAACATACATGATGTCACAAGTATACTTCTTTAAATAAACCATGAGGACATTGTTCTCTCTTTTACTGATTTCTCATTTCTAACACTCCTCTAAATTATTTATATGTATATACAACAGAGTATAAACAATTCTTATATTTTAAAAGAAGAAAATCATACTGCCCAACTGTTCAACTTCTCTCATGAGCTTAGCTTCTAGAAATGGTTTATGGTTTAATGAAAAATGATAGACTTTAGAGTTAGTAAATCTGTTTTGAATTTTGAATCAGTACATATTTTACCTTTGATACACTATTTTATCTTGCCAGTTTGATTTCCTTTCTTTAAAATAGGAGAAAAACATCTATATCCATTTTCCTGGGTTTATATAAAATTATATACAAGATGGATAGTAAATGTTGACATATACAAAGGATCATAATTCTCCTTTTCTCTTAACCTAGTCTCCTTCTTCCAGTCAGTGAGAGGATATTTTCCCTGGTGTCTAGGGAAATGATTTCCCTCTGGCTCATCCTTCTCCGTCAAAACTTCCAGGCTCAATTTATATTTCTCTTATCTAGTGTTTATCCATATATCTATCATCTGTAATTTTTTAATCTACCCATTAATACATCTAATTAAATTAAATTATTTGAATCTTTACCACGTACCAATCACCAAGCTTTTCTCTAGGAAAATAAAAAGATGAATACATATGTTTTATATTCCCAGAGAGCCAGCATTCTAGAGGAAGAAATAAATGTGATTAAGAAATAGACTTTTAGTGCTATAAAAACCACATGTAAAGTACTATTGAAGAAGAGTCAATAGATTGAGTGATTTGGTGTTGCAGAGAGTTTCTTGGATGGTTATCATGGAAGAAAGTCACTCTTTTTTTTTAATGTTTAACAGTGGCGTTTTAGGTAAATGATTGAAAGCATTTAACATTAAATTCAATTTACTTCACATTGTTGTTTGCAAATACATTATTAGCAATTCTTAAATATTTCAAATCAACCAACTTAAGTACAGAAGGCCTGCTTGAAAGGAGCCTGGGACTCAAGTCCAGATCCCTAACCTCTCTTGCCATGAGTCACACTATGATACTTCTGACTGGATCAGGAAGGGTCCTGCACCTCTCAACCTTGAAGTTCCCTCATATGAATTCACCAGTGATGACACAGTGATTGTTGGTTAGAGATTCACTTTTAATGTGTGTGTTCATCAGGTTGAGAAGAATAAAACAGAAACATCATAGCCTTTTGCTTTCCTATCTGGCTACTCTCCTCTTGTGTCCCCATGTGGTAATAACTCTTCAATAATATTTTGCCTTGGCTTCTCACACTATTCATTCCTCTGAGTTGAGTGAGTTTTGAATGCAAAAAATATTCTTTATTCATTTCTGTTTCCCTGGCTATCAGCAGTAACTGACATTGAAATAGTCATTTAGAGTCTAAATGGTTGACATGATACAACAAGTTTGTAATCTATATCTCATTTGGCACTAGTTTTCCTAATTCTTAGTGTTTTTTTTCCAAACATGTATAATATAACAATATTAAATATTATACCAGAAAAAGCAATTCATCTTTTTTTTTTCCTTTGGAGTAACAAGTGATTATTTCTATCAACATCTTCAGTAGACTGGAGGAGGGGGAGAAAATAAGGAACAACCTCTTATATTTATGTTTATGTAGCAACTCACAGGGCCTGATACTAGCAAATTTCTTGCACCCACTCAGATACAAGACAGAAAACCTAGATTACTGAAAAATAACAATACTTATGGCTGGCCAGATCCACACAACACCTGAAATGAGTATATTATTCTTTGTTAGCTCTTTGGGGTTTTTTTGTTTGTTTGTTTGTTTGTTTGTTTGTTTTTTGGAATTTACCATCTTTCTTTTTTGAGTTCATTCATTTATTTTGAGAGAAAGAAATGGGTGGGTGAGGATCAGAGAAAGAGGAGAGAGAGAAAGAACTCCAAGCAGGCTCCACATGGTCAGTGCAGAGTCCAATGTGGGGCTCGAACTCATGAACTGTGAGCTCCTGACCTGAGTCAAAGTCAAATGCTTAACTGGCTGATCCACCCAGGCACCCCTGTTAGCTCTTTGTTGATGACTAAATACCCTAGGTACAAATTTTAAAATCAGCAATGATGACACCAGCAATGATGATATCAGTGAACACACCCTAAATAGAATTGCAACAGTCATCTTAAATATGACACCATCTCTGTTTTCTATACAGCTGCCATTCTATGCACTTTCTCACTCAGTGAACTACTTTATATTCCAACTTGTGATGTCACTTCAGTTTTCCATGTCTCAGAGTGATTCCTGTTTAGTTATTAATCTCCACTTCCATCCCATCCATGCTTTTTACAAAGGCATTTGTCACATGTTGCTGAGTGCTTCCCATGACTTATTTTTAGTTTATTTATTTTGAGAGAGAGAGAGAGAGAGAGAGAGAGAGAGAGAGAGAGAGAGAGAATGGGGGAGGGGCAGAGAAAGGGAGAGAGATAATCCTAAGCAGGCTACAAACTGTGAGCACACAGCTCAATATGGGGCTCCATCTCACAAACGGTGAGATCATGACCTGAGCCAAAATGAAGAGTTAAATGCTTAACCAACTGAGCCACCCAGGTGTCCTTTCTCATGACTTTTATATGGGTGTTTTGTCTAAGCGTACCTGCTATATCTAGATTAGGACACCTGAAATCATGTATTCCAGAATACTGTTTGGAATTTTCACAGGATTCATTAGAGCAGTCTACTCACAATGACTTGGTTCAGAGTCACATGCTAACTATCCATGGGAAGGAGTATAAACAAGTATCCCAAGGTGTAAGATGGAGAAAAGGAGGATAAAACCTACTTATTTCAGTACCCTGGAAAAGTATGCAGAGATACAGAATTAGAACATAAGATAAACCCAAGTTCCATATATATATGGAGTGGGAAGGGACAAATTATAGAAACCATCCCACTATAGGAAAAGGAATAAAGAAACCCAGATACCAAAAGGAGACTTCTAATAGAGTCTACTAGAAGAGGCTGGCTAATAGAGGTACAAGGATACCTTTGGATACAATATCCCAGACCAGCTTCCAGCAAGAAAATCGTGGAGTATGCCATCACAGGTGCCCAGTGGCTCTTGTGTGCTTATCTACTATTTCTTGAGCAACTATACTGCTTGGGCACTTAATGCAAAGACCCATCAGTTGTCACTGTGTTGGTGTGTGTGCTTGTGTATGACATAAGCCTATATGCATTTCCCACTTCCAGCCTTAGGACTAGTCTGAGCAGTAGGGTGGGGATGAGCCTAGAGAGACTGATGGTTATAACTGGGAGAAGACAGAGGAAGAAAACTGGGGCCAGTTTCTGACAAGACAAAGTCAATACACTGTAGAATTATGCAATAGGTGCCATATTTAGATGGAGGATTTTGAATACAGAAAAACAACTGTGTAATTTGGGAACAGTTTATACTAGAGAACTTGAAAAAAGGACCAATAGGACAAACACTACGATTGTTGTTTCTCTTTTCAGGGTGTGTTCTCAACCCAACATGGTGATTTTCAATAACACTACATCATCTTCCTCAAACTTCCTACTCACTGCATTTCCTGGTCTGGAACTTGCACATGTCTGGATCTCTATTCCTGTCTGCTGTCTCTATGCCATTGCCCTCTTGGGAAACAGCACGATTCTGTTCGTCATCATTGTTGAGAGGAGTCTTCACAAGCCCATGTACTATTTCCTCGCCATGCTGTCAACTGTTGATCTATGTCTGACCATCTCAACCCTTCCCACTGTTCTTGGGGTTCTCTGGTTTCATGCCCGGGAGATTAGCTTGAAAGCTTGCCTCATTCAAATGTTCTTTGTACATGGCTTCTCCTTCCTGGAGTCTTCAGTGCTGGTAGCCATGGCCTTTGACCGCCTCATGGCTATCTGTAACCCACTGAAGTATGCTATTGTCTTCACAGACATGATAATCTTGTTGATTGGACTGGTTATCTGCACACGGCAAGTAATTTTAATCTTTCCCATGATTCTAGCCTTGACGAGAGTATCTTTCCACGGAGGCCAAGAGCTTTCCCACCCATTTTGCTACCATCCAGATATGATTAAATACACATATTCCAACCCCTGGATCAGCAATTTTTTGGGCATGTTTCTTCAGCTCTACCTGACTGGCACTGACTTACTGTTCATTCTTTTCTCCTACGTTCTGATTCTCCGAACCGTCTTGAGTATCATGGTCCCTAAGAAACAACAAAAAGCTCTCAGCACTTGTGTCTGTCACATCTGTGCTGTCACTGTTTTCTACGTGCCAATGATCAGCCTGTCCTTTACACACCGCCTTTTCAGTTCCACCCCAAAAGTGGTCTGTAGCATTTTGGCCAATGTTTATTTGTTCTTACCACCTATACTGAACCCTGTCATTTACAGCTTGAAGACCAAGACCATCCGCCAGGCTATGCTCCAGCTGCTCCATTTTAAGGGCTCACAGGGCCCCAGTGTGAGGAGTCATAGAGGACCCTGGGGTTGAAGTAGAGAGAAGTTATATTTGAGCAATAAAAGGATCTAGGTCTGTGCCACCAGGCATTTTAGTTACTGAAGCAGTTTCACTTAAATCATAGGAGCAGAAAGAGAATACTTTTCCCCTAAGCTTATCAAAAGTTAAAAAAAAAACAACAAACTACCATTCAAAACCAAATTAATTGTGTATATGTCCCTCAAACATTTAAAATAATTATATGGAACTCCTGTGCACATTAAAAGCACAATAAGATCATTTTATTCTGGTTGAACAATTTAATTATCTGCCTAAAAACGGTAATTCTTAGACCAAAAATTAATATATATAATTTTATGTCTGTGTTCAGCTGCAAAAAAGTCATTTATTTCTGTGGTAAGATTTCCCAGGGGGCATCAGAGATTTTTTTTTTTTTTCCCTTGAGGTGGTAAGTGAAAGAGTTACGTGTGTGTGCAAAGACACGCACATTGCAATTTGTAATTTAAAACTTTAGGAAACTCTTACACACTGATTTCAGTTCCTAAAGTCACCTCTAGGGAGACCCATCTCCTTGCAGATGCACTCCCTGAACCTTTATCTTTTCTTGAATTCTTTTTCTCCTCAGCAAACGTGAAATTGTCACTGAACTAATTGCTGTTTGTTATACCTCCAATGAGTCCAATATCTAAAGTTACATATCACTCTTCATTATTTTTCCCATTGCCTAGATATTCTAATACAGTTCTGATTCTCACTCTGTAGCACCTCTTCCGTGTCTGCTGGGCTTCAGGACAGTACTTTTTTTCTATTTGCCCTTGTTTCATGGGTGGTTAAGTTTTTACCTAGCTGTTGGGCTCCTGGACCTTTTGGTGTACTTATAATTGTAGAATTGCACAGTGACTTTGATGCTTAGTAGGAAATATTTAGAATACCTTGCTTAACAATAGCTTAACAATACTTATTTGGTCAAGAAGTAACCTGGGGTGCTTGGGTGGCTCAGTCAGTGAAGCACCAGACTTCAGCTCAGGTCATGAACTCACAGTTGGTGAATTCGAGCCCTGTGTCCAGCTCTGTGCTGACAGCTCAGAGCCTGGAGCCTACTTTGGATTCTGTGTCTCCCTCTCTCTTTGTTCCTCCACTGCTTGCACTCTGTCTCTTCTCTCTCAAAAATAAATAAAGATTAACAATAACAACAACAACAACAACAAAACAACAACAACAATAATACTAATAGTAATAATAAAAGAGAAGGAAACTCACTATAGAGTTGATGGGATGTTGGGGGAATTCTCCTAAGTTTTTTTTGTTTTTGGTTTTTTTTTTTTTTTTTTTTTTTTTTTTTTTTTTTTTTTTTTACGTACAAAGTTATAAAACTTTGTTCCACTCAGGATAATTCATGTCTGAGCACAGGAGACCAAGCAGAAATTCTGATCTGAGCCACCTGTCTCCTCTCCTTATATCACCTTCCTACTCCTGGCAGACAAGGAATACCGCTTCCAAACTTGTGTGTTTGCCTTGGCTTTCTGTTCTGCTCAAACGCTGACAATTTTGTGACTGCTTTGCCCAAACCAAGAGACACCCGTCTCTGATCCTGGAATCAACCTGTGGCAGAGTAGACATGCCAGAGCACACCGTACTCTAACTATCCAGACTTTTCCTCATCAGTTCTTACAAATGCCAATGGTTCCTTAATTGCTTCCTTACAGACCTTTCTAAAAGTTTTTGTTCTTAGATCCCCAACTCCATTTACAATTCCTGAATTTTATAACATCTGGAAAAACACTTTAAACATTTTTTCCTAAGTTTGGAGCCAAAACTTATTGGCAGCAAAAGCTAGCATAAACAGGTATGAATGTATTTATGGTCATTATTTATTCTACATTGAGTGAATATCTACACATTTCACCTCAGAAATATAGCTGTGCTTGAATACAGGGTAATGCCTCCAGGGTTGTAGAGATGTTTAGAGTATAAGAAATTCTGAATTTCAAGAGTTTTAGGTAAACAATTGTAGAAATGTGCAAGCATTCTTCCAGTTTTATGATGGCCAATATTTAAGGCAGTCTACTGCATGTCTGTTAATCTTTTATTATTCCAAATGTGCTTTTCATATCTGGCTTAAAATGTAACTCACCTGCTCAATACCAAAAACAATTTTATCAGTGTTTTTTATTCCCCATAGCAGTTGTTAATAGGACATGAATGTGTTTTGTTGTTACTTCAAAGAATGTGTTTAATAATTTGGGGATTGTTCTAATTATATCTTGTATGTATGTAAGTACATGCAATTATACACACATATGTGTACTATATACAATTAAAATTTTGTGATTAAAAAGGTAACAAAAATCACTCACAATCCTACTGAGGAATTTTATGATATATAACTATCTTTTTTTAATAAGCCAACATATGTGCACATACACATACATTTATTAACTAGGATAGTAGTGTATACTCAGATGTATATCCTATTTGCTTGATATTATTTATCATTTTCTGTTAATCATATATTACATTTTTATATTAGACTTTATTTTAGACTTTACTTCCCCTAGGAAGCCCTCTCACTTGATTCTCCACTATAATGGTCAAGTTACCAGTCTTTTATTCTTTTATTTGCTTTCTTATATGTGTGCTTAAACTTAACATACTTTACTCCGTGGATTTAATTTTTTATTTACTGTTCTCCCCACCACCAGACTGTAAACCCCTTGATAGCATAAATGTAAGTTTCATTTAATCCTTATCATCTAATGCAGTGCTTAACAAATGCCACTTAGTTGTTGATTCTGTGTTGCATAAGTGAATAATACCTAATATTATTTGTGTATCATGGTTTATGTTTAACATTTCAGTAGTTTACAGTATTTTTATCATAGACAATAATCCTTGATATATATTAGAAATAAATATTTGATCACCCCTCTGATTGTGTTCTTCTATTCCTAGAATGTGAATTATTAAATTTATAAGGAGATAAAATAATAGTTGGTCTGCTGTAGTGCATGAGGTTGTAGGCTCTGGAAATGGGTTTAGATTTAAGCTCCTAACACTTTATAGTTCTGTATGTTTGGAAAACTTGTTTAACTTCTCAAAGCTTTATCTTCTAAATCCACAAAACAGGAGGAATTAATAAAATCTACCTTCCCATGTTCTTACAAAAGTTAATTGTGTTAATACAAGTAAGTATATAACCCAGTGTTTGGTGCCTGGTGAACACTGAATTATACCATATGTTAACTAACTGGAATTTAAATAAAAACTTGAAAAAACATCTTTGTACTTAATTCCCAGTTTACTTTAGTTTATTTTTGTGTGTAATAAAGGATCACACACAATTATGGTTTTTTAAATAGGTTGTAATTTTTTCTACCACTATTATTTGAATAACCTCTTTTCAATAAGGTTCTGATATTCCTTAATTATATATTACTTTCATATCATTTAGAGTATGTTGAAGTGTTTATTCTTTCGTTGTTCTTCCCATTGATTTGTTGAGCAAACTACATGCAATTTTATAGCTGTTTAATAAATGTTGCTATCATATGAAACTTTATTACACTTTCTATTTGTTTTTATCTTATATTTTCCAGTTGACATTTGTAAAACTTTTTTTAGAATTATTTTGTTACACTCTCAGTGAAATGTTCCTGGAAGCTTGATTGGAAATACATTGAGCCTATATTATAATTGAGGAAAACAGATGTTAGCCTATTCACTCTTAGGATCCAGATAAACATTATTGACATGTTATGACTTGAGCAGTTTCTGTTTTGTAAAGATCTGAGTTTCTTAGTTGAGGGCAAATACTAAAAAAATGGAGGATAATATCCTTCTTGTTTCTTTCATGACAACCTGTTTACTTTTTCTTGTGGCTAAACAGGACATGAACTATTTTTCAGGGCAACTTCTTTGACTTAAAATTTATAGTTACATCTTATTCATTTGGCAATAGTGTTTCTATCATTCTAGACGTTCTGTGTGCTTACAATTTATCATCGTATTCTGACTGTCCAAAGGTTTGTGTGTGTGTGTGTGTGTGTGTGTGTGTGTGTGTGT